CCTTACAGCAAGTTGAATCAGTTGGAACTTTGGAAATAGCAGAAGGTTAAATCATACTTTCTGTGAATCTCAGGCCTATTGTTTTGTTTGCTTTTCTTTTCGTCCTATAGCCTAAAATGTTATATTTAGGCCTGGCCCAAAAATGGACTAAAGGAGCCAAACATTACTCCTTATAGTCCAATGACCTTACACGTTCTGTATGGAGGCGAATTGGCTCTGGCAGCCAAAACAGCCAAATACTCCATCTAAACGTGAATCTATTCTCAATTGTTATGGTTCTAGAAACATAAAGCCCTCTACATATCACATCAAATTAATTTCACAAATGCTAAATATAAACCTACTGTACACTATTTTAACCGGTTTTAACACAGTTGCAGCCGACAAGACTTTTCAGCAACAACATTGTTCAGTGACAACACGTTTGTGGCGTCTGTCTTCAGTGTTCAGAAACACAGATAGCTAATTAGCACAGGTAGTCAACTGTCTTCCCTGTTTTCTGAAAACAAGCGCTGTAACATGGAAATATGGCTGTGTGGGAACCTTAACCCTATAAAGGTGTGTATCAGTTTAACCTTTTTTTGTATTATTATTTCTCGCTGATATGAAAGATAAGGTCATTATGCTTCCAATACCGTACCGCAAGCCATGCCTGTTAATGTTCAGACCGAGCGTCAGGCTGTTAACAAAACACCCCCGTACAGAAGATGCCTTCTTCCAATGACTTACGTGTAATGTAATGGAACTGAGAGACATGATCAAGGGCTAGGTATGATATATGCTATTGTTGCATTTCATTTACCTACCATTTCCTCTCCTCTGAGTAGGCACAATGTTTATAGTGCACATGAATATTCGCAAGACTCACGAGGAAGAAGTTCATTTTATTTTATTTCCATCCTCTTCTGTTAAATGCCTGGTCCTGTAGCCTACCTGTCGAAGTAACGTGTGTGTGCGCTGGCGTGTTCCAATCTTCATACGTGGCCTTCCCGCCAGGACGTCAATATTGTAAATGAGTGGACTGTAAATTGGGAATTAAATTACGTTGACGTTTCTTTTATCAAAGGGTTCTGGTGATGATTATGTCTTCTTTGGACTATTATTATAGGCCTACAGTGTAGCCTAATGAAGGATTTTGGAACGTTCCTTTTATGTTGATTACCAGTTAAAGCAAGAATCTGCAGTTGATAGATCCATTTTTTTGTCTTATAAATTAATGATATATACCCATTGTTTCTTCAAGAATTTAACTTATACATGCCTCGTGAGCTTAGGTTGACTGTTGTACGACTCGTACCCCATCAAAACCCAACATATAAGCTTTTTTTTACTCCAATGTTTGTAAACTAGGTAAATGTAAGCAAACACTGTATAGCCTTAAAGCATGGTTAAAACTAAAATATTGATATCATGGATGGTCATTCCTTGCATCCATGGCTCCGTCTATGAATTTGAGAGTGGTTACATTTCTCCAGGCCCATCCCTCAGCTTTTTACGAAAATAGAGGCAGAGTGTCGCTTTGTTATTGTTTCAACTAAGGATTCTAGCTTTAACTGGTTCATTGTCATTTTGATTGTGGTAGGCCTACTAGGGAGGAGGGGCTACGTGAGCATAACCCAACCTTAGTCTTATGGAATAGGCAGGTTTAACTGCTGGCATTTTCTTTTCATTTAAGTTATACAGAGAACTTTGTAAATATCAATGATGATTACTTTGTAAATTGAACGTCTGGATCCCTATTGTCATCTGTAAATAAAATCACAACTTCTGCACCTGATCCTACCTGCAACATTTATATGGTACATCTATCTTCTTCTTTTTTGACCTATGTGCCAAGGAAGAGATAAGTATTGGATCCTGTGCTGTGCTGCATTTGCACCAATAGAAGGCATCTCCACTTCGAGATACAGTAGATGTTAGCAAGACTAATTACATATAATGAAACATGGAACATCTGGACAACTTTTTAGAACTTTTTATGGTGCTGTATAGAGGCAAAACGTGGAGAAAAGTGATTTATAAATGAAATGTGTATTATTATATTAATTACAAATAATATGAATTACACAAAATACAATTGATACTATAGGCCTACTAATAACACAGATAGAACAATGAGCCAGACACAGTATTTCACCGGATGTATAAATGTGAAGCATCCGGTTGGCGTTTCCACACACGACCAAATATGGTGATGAGAAGAAGCCCAGTGGCCGGCAGTGGGAGAACATGGAGCCCGATGGATTTTGGCCGACATTCTGCTCATTTTCTTATCACTGAAACTTTTTCTCTACATACGGTTTTCTGTTTCCAAACTAAAATCTGTAACAAACAGAGTGGGCTGCGTTTTGTAGACACCCTTTGCCAAAGTTTTTTTTTATTTAATTGCGTTGTTTAGAAGGAGTGCAAGGGCGAATTGAGTTATTGCACACACGCGTTTCACAGAGTAGGCGTTCCTTAACGGACATATGCAAATATATGCTAGAACCCGTCAATAGGATCTCGCTAGCTCGTGTTTAGCTCTGCCACCTCCTTGCTTGTTCAGCCCACTATTATGAATTTGCTTCCATTGGAAATGACAGGCTCTGGTCTATCTTGGGTTAGTTATAAAAAATCTTTGCTAATAAGGTAAAACATGCAAAATATCCACATCCATTTTGTTTCATATTTAACTATTCACTCATCTCAGTCAGGAACATAGCACTGAGGTCCTGAATAAAAAAAAAAGAGAAGTCTGATAGTCCAAACCAAGACATCTTGACTGGGTGGAAACAAAACAACAGACTGTAACACATTATTATGTAGGGTGGAAGACTAATGCCTTCCTAGGCTAAAGGGTCAGATTCTAACAAGCCAACATCTGGTGTGGCTGTGTGGGGCCAGCTAAGAGAAAGCTACTACATATCTGCACCATCCTATGAGCTTTAGGCACACAATGGTGGTCTACAGGAGAGACATGATATGAGAAATGCTATCTTAATTACACAGCTTGTTTAATAGTCAGGGTAGAGGATGACATAGCCAGTATACTGGATAAACAGCGTTTGTGCATTTACAATTAAAAGATAGGCATCGGGGGGAAAACATTAAACAGGAAAGAGACTCAAAGACGTACACACGGGATAAAGGCACTGTGAGAAGATATATCCTACAGTGAAACTTACTCACAGAGGGAGCTGGGGGAGAGAGGCACACAGAGAAAGAATTTAAGGTGAACCTTATCAAACAAAACATCTTAATACAATGTTTACATGAAAGCAACTCATGTTTGAAATGAAGTTAGACCCTAAAATATCCCTGCTCTGGTAAAGTTTTTCTACTTAAAGTACTAGACTACATGATCTACTTAGAAAGGTAACTTAAATCAACCTGACCTCTGTTGAGATCCAATCTGTCATATAAAATCAGGGGAATAAACATAAGTGGGGGTATTATGAATTGACAATAAATTAAAGTATATCTCTAAAGCAAACATGTTATTTGCATCTGACCTGCAGTGTAACAATAAAAAAAAGGGAAAGTAAAATTAAACGAAGAATGATTAGCTTTCCGTGGTGTGGTAGGGAAGAGAGATGTCAAGGGAAGCTGATGGAGGTAATAGGCGAGGGAAGAGGGCATGTGGAGGAAAACGGATCTGTTTGTCATCCCTAGATTATTGTTATTACAAACAGAGCCTCAATTCTACAAGGGCTAGTGCCACTGCAACACCCCCCTTTCCCAGGCAGAGGTCAGGCAGAAAATGGTAGAGCACAACAAACAAACAGCCATTGAACAATGTATTTGTCGTTTAAGGAGCCGGCCTAAATCTGCTGAACACATTACCCCCTCCAAGACGGCTGGCCACCCACCCTGACCCCCCCCCCTGGCACTGGCAGCCCACTGCAGGCGCAGACACAAGGGTCACTTACTCCCCTAGACCTGAGGTAACAGGGGCCTTAAACCCAGGCCATGGCTGTAATGAATATGGCTATCCTGTTACACACACTTAGTAATAAATCTCACAGTAATACATCTCACAGCTGCAATAACGCGCACAAGACAAAGGGTCACATCCCCAGATCTGGGCGGCAGGTAGCTTAGTGGGTAAGAGCGTTGTGCCAGTAACGGAAAGGTCGCTGGTTCTAATCCCAGAGCCGACTAGGTGAAAAATCTGTCGCTGTGCCCTTAAGCAAGGCACTTACCCCTAATTGCTCATGTAAGTCGCTCTGGATAAGAGCATCTGCTAAATGACTAAAATGTAAATGATCTTCCAAGTCCTATCTGATCACATCACAATAGTATTTCCACTATTGAACAGTAATGTTTTATTCATTCATCCTGCTATTTCTAAAGATTTCTAAAGATCAGGGAGACACTGGTAAATGCAGATGTGCATTTAATTTATTGTACTAACAAATAAAAAGCAATATTAATAATTTCATCCATGCAATATTATTTATAGAATGGTTAATTTTACTTTATCATGAAGTCACACACATGAGCTGCCATGACATAAAGAGATTTTAAAATAATAAATCAATGTAAACTGAGCACAGCAGATCTGTTCCTATCATTAGTGTCATCTAGGTCATATGGGCGCCAGGTAGCCTAGTGGTTAAGAGTGTTGGGCCAGTAACCGAAAATTCACTGGGTTGAATCCCAGAGCCGACTTAGTGAAAAATCTGTCTGTGCCCTTGAGCAAGGCACTTAACTCTAAGTCGCTCTGGATAAGATTGTCTGCTAAATGACTAAACTGAAATCTAGTGACATCAATACAGTGCCGGCTCCAACCTTTTGGGTACAAATTTAGCAATTCTAATCATTTTGCCATGGGGCAGAGAGACATTTGCGTCGACGAGAAGACCCGCCTCATGACCACTACAGCACTAGTATAAATTAAGGCACCAGTAAGTTATGAGTTAGCCAAGTGTCCGGTGCAACATTCCGTACTTGGCTTGCGTGCTTCATTCAAGCCTTAGTCTACATTCGTTGGCCAATAAAGTGGATTACTAACTGCAGAAATGTCGGAGACCGTCAAGCCACTAACTTCATTTTTAATCGAGGACATCTTGTCCATTAAAGATAAGACACTGCTAAACTTTCCGTGCTCTTCTTCACACAAGTCCAAGGAGGGATGCGCTCAATGGAATAACCAACAGCCCGATCAGGTATCACAGTCAGTGGAACTTTGGGCACAGCATACAGCATTTGGAGCGCGGAAAGGTGAGCACATTGGATCTTATTTAGGCTACTTAAAGAAAGTGTAGCCTATACGCAAATTGATTGATTGACCATGGTGTGCCAGATTCCCTGGAATCACACAAATTTATAAAAGGGAATATTCGATATATGAACCTGTGGAGTAGGCAGCTCACCTGTCAATTGCCAACTTTTGACGCAAAGCCACCACACCACAAACGGGCTAATCATGACTCTCTTTTACAGATTCCATTGCCAGCTCTAGTTCCAGCACCCCAGATGCTATGAAAAGTTTTACATCAGCGGGCAAACAGAAGCGCTCGCGCGCTGCCTTTACGCATCTGCAAGTGCTAGAACTGGAGACTACATTTAACCACCAGAAGTACCTGTCCGCTCCTGAAAGAGCCCATCTTGCCAACACCTTGAGACTGACCGAGACGCAAATTAAAATCTGGTTTCAGAACAGAAGATACAAAACCAAACGCAAGCAGCAAGCTACGGAGTACTATAAGGACACATTTCAAAAGTCAGAAGGACTATGTACAGAGGACGATTTAGTCAGAGCATCACTTCTCACCACGTTGTACAAAACATATCAATACCGACCATATGTGTATGACTTTAATCGCACATGGAGACCAACACTATGGTGAACATTAAATATACTGGACAATATTCATGTCAATATGGTAACATAGGTATTTGATCTATTCAGCAGAGTAACTTGTCATATTTTTTCATAATCTACTTTTCTATGGCTATACACTGTAACCTACCTATGTCATAAACTGTCAGCTGTCATTTATTTTTATTTATTTTTATTCAAATTTATGTTGCAAGAAAATAAAGGGTGACTGATTTGAAATTGAGACTAAGTAATTCAAAGGTGTGGTCCTCTGTAGCTCAGCTGGTAGAGCACGGCGCTTGTAACGCCAAGGTAGTGGGTTCGATCCCCGGGACCACCCATACACAAAAATGTATGCACGCATGACTGTAAGTCGCTTTGGATAAAAGCGTCTGCTAAATGGCTTATTATTATTAAAGGATATTGTAGTGTCAAGGTCTATGAAAAGTTTTGCCAGCTATAGTAATAGAAATCGTGCTAAATTTGTCAGTACCCATGCAGCTCATCATTTAATTTAGAAAGTAGCCTAGTGATGGTTATTGAAAATGAAACAGTGTGTACTCAAGTTTACTCTTTCCATTTTGCTGAGTTACAGCTAAGCAAGCATAAATGGCACTATTCTGAGCTCTGAGGTGATTAAGATAAAGAACACTATGTAATGGGCCATGGGCTGGTTGTGGAAATAAGGTGTGACTCAACAGTCATTTTGCAATTCCTTGCCAAACACCTCTCCCTGGAGGAGCCATGAGTGTTGCTTTAAACTGAATATATATACTTCCATGCAGGAATGAATGCTTGAAATATGGTCTACAGAAACTGTTGCCAGAGGCAAACAATGGTTGTACCTGTAGTTAAACTCTGATAATACTAGCAAATTGCATGAGCAGATAAGGGTTTGGCTGGAAAACATGAGTGATGAGGGCCTTCTCTAAACAACGATGCTTGGCTTCTTTAACAGATAAAGAGCCCCTATGCATCCATTTAAACTGAGACTCGATTCGACATCAACATGTCTTAAAAAAAAAAACTAGAGTCTAAGCTCTGTCTAAGCCGGAGGAGGGGGGGGGGGGGGGGGGTTCTACTAAGCTATATGGAATTGTTTTAAGAAGATCATTTAGCATTTACTTGATGAAAAAATTATTTTGGCCTTGCTGCTATTAGCCCATACAAATGCATTGAATAACAGATTCACTACATGGAACAATAGATAGTCTCCCAAAAAATCTAAATGAACTTTGTTATGAAGTGTCTGTCCTATATCTGAGAGATACAGTTGAAGTCGGAAGTTTACATACACCTTAGCCAAATACATTTAAACTCAGTTTTTCACAATTCCTTAAATGTCATCCTAGTAAAAATTCCCTGTTTTAGGTCAGTTAGGATCAACACTTTATTTTAAGAATGTGAAATGTCAGAATAATAGTAGAGAGAATGATTTATTTCAGATTTTATTTATTTCATCACATTCCCAGTGGGTCAGAAGTTTACATACACTCAATTATTATTTGGTAGTATTGCCTTTAAATTGTTTAACTTGGGTTAAACATTTCAGGTAGCCTTCCACAAGCTTCCCACAATAAGTTGGGTGAAATTTGGCCCATTCCTCCTGACAGAGCTGGTGTAACTGAGTCAGGTTTGTAGGCCTCCTTGCTCGCACACGCTTTTTCAGTTCTGCCCACACATTTTCTATAGGATTGAGGTCAGGGCTTTGTGATGGCCACTCCAATACCTTCACTTTGTTGTCCTTAACCAATTTTGTCACAACTTTGGAAGTATGCTTGGGGTCATTGTTCATTTGAAAGACCCATTTGCGACCAAGCTTTAACTTCCTGACTAATGTCTTGAGATGTTGCTTCAATATACCGTGAGGGGAAAAAGTATTTGATCCCCTGCTGATTTTGTACGTTTGCCCACTGACAAGGACATGATCAGTCTATAATTTTAATGGTAGGTTTATTTGAACAGTGAGAGACAGAATAACAACAAAAAAATCCAGAAAAAATGCATGTCAAAAATAGGCAGCATTCCTCCTCCTCCAAACACGGCGAGTTGAGTTTATGCCAAAGATCTCAATTTTGGTTTCATCTGACCACAACACTTTCACCCAGTTCTCCTCTGAATCATTCAGATGTTCATTGGCAAACTTCAGACGGGCCTGTATATGTGCTTTCTTGAGCAGGGGGACCTTGCGGCGCAGCAGGATTTCAGTCCTTCATGGCGTAGTGTGTTACCAATTGTTTTCTTGGTGACTATGGTCCCAGCTGCCTTGAGATCATTGACAAGATCCTCCCGTGTAGTTCTGGGCTGATTACTCACCATTCTCATGATCATTGCAACTCCACGAGGTGAGATCTTGCATGGAGCCCCAGGCCGAGGGAGATTGACAGTACTTTTGTGTTTCTTCCATTTGCGAATAATCGCACCAACTGTTGTCACCTTCTCACCAAGCTGCTTGGCGATGGTCTTGTAGCCCATTCCAGCCTTGTGTAGGTCTACAATCTTGTCCCTGACATCCTTGGAGAGCTCTTTGGTCTTGGCCATGGTGGAGAGTTTGGAATCTGATTGATTGATTACTTCTGTTGACAGGTGTCTTTTATACAGGTAACAAGCTGAGATTAGGAGCACTCCCTTTAAGAGTGTGCTCCTAATCTCAGCTCGTTACCTGTATAAAAGACACCTGGGAGCCAGAAATCTTTCTGATTGAGAGGGGGTCAAATACTTATTTCCCTCATTAAAATGCAAATCAATTTATAACATTTTTGACATGCGTTTTTCTGGATTTTGTTGTTGTTATTCTGTCTCTCACTGTTCAAATAAACCTACCATTAAAATTATAGACTGATCATTTCTTTGTCAGTGGGCAAATGTACAAAATCAGCAGGGGATCAAATACTTTTTTCCCTCACTGTATCCACATAATTTTCCTTCGTCATGATGCCATCTATTTTGTGAAGTGCACCAGTCCCTCCTGCAGCAAAGCACCCCCACAGCATGATGCTGCCACCCCTGTGCTTCACGGTTGGGATGGTGTTCTTCGGCTTGCAAGCAACCACCTTTTTCCTCCAAACATAACGATGGTCATTATGGCCGAACAGTTCTATTTTTGTTTAATCAGACCAGAGGACATTTCTCCAAAAAGTACGATCTTTGTCCCCATGTGCAGTTGCAAACCGTAGTCTGGCTTTTTTATGGCGGTTTTGGAGCAGTGGCTTCTTCCTTGCTGAGCGGTCTTTCAGGTTATGTCAATATAGGACTCGTTTTACTGTGGATATAGATACTTTTGTACCTGTTTCCTCCAGCATCTTCACAAGGTCCTTTACTGTTGTTCTGGGATTGATTTGCACTTTTCGCACCAAAGTACGTTCATCTCTAGGAGACAGAACGTGTCTCCTTCCTGAGCGGTATGACGGCTGCGTGGTACCATGGTGTTTATACTTTCGTACTATTGTTTGTACAGATGAACGTGGTACCTTCAGGTGTTTGGAAATTGCTCCCAAGGATGAACCAGACTTGTGGAGGTCTACAATTATTTTCTGAGGTCTTGGCTGATTTATTATGATTTTCCCATGATGTCAAGCAAAGAGGCACTGAGTTTGAAGGTAGGCCTTGAAATACATCCACAGGTACACCTCCAATTGACTCAAATGATGTCAATTAGCCTATCAGAAGCTTCTAAAGCCATGACATAATTTTCTGGAATTTTCCAAGCTGTTTAAAGGCACAGTCAACTTAGTCAACTTCTGACCCACTGGAATTGTGATACAGTGAATTATAAGTGAAATAATCTGTCTGTAAACAATTGTTGGAAAAATTACTTGTGTCATGCACAATGTAGCCGACTTGCCAAAACTATAGTTTGTTAACAATAAATGTGTGGAGTGGTTGAAAAACGAGTTTTAATGACTCCAACCTAAGTGCATGTAACCTTCCGACTTCAACTGTATGTGTTCGTGAGAGTCTCATCTTTCCATAGAGTGACCATAATAGTTCGGACACTACAGACGATTTTGTGAGAAGACCAATTTTCAACCGAAATGCAGAACGCTTCGAACACACCGACTGCGTCATTGCTTTTTGGTACACCAGAAGTACATTAATTTCCAATGGAACGCTGCGTTTGCTTTGCAGCATTGCGTTGCAGAGGCAGTTGCAGTGCGTTCTGTGTGGTGCATACGTTGGATTTATCGTAACGCTTTGAACACACCGACTGCTTCATTGCGCAAAATAGTATGCAGCATCATCTAGATATGTGTGCAACAAAAGTTCAACATTCACCTTCTGCTACCATTTCTGTCAACTGTTTAGGCATACAGTTTGACGCATATGTTCGATAAATCCAACATATGCACCACACAGAACACACTGCAACTGCCTCTGCAGTGAATGTACTTCTGGTGTACCAAAACGCAAGGCGCAGTCGGTGTGTTCGAAGCGTAATAGCGGATGCGGTTGATTGAGACGCATCCCATGCAAAAAAACAGATATCTCTAGTTTAAACGGACAGATTTTTTAATGGGGATTTTTGTATTATGCTAATTAGATCTCTGCGGAGGAGCGGAAATCAACCTTAGTTAATAAACCTATACCGAAGGCAGTTCCTCATTGTGGTGACTACATGAAATGTGAAATGGTTTCCCCACAATCATGCTTGTGAGAACTGTGAGACAGGCAAGGGATGGACACATGGAGCTATGGGGGAAACCAAAGTTACTGTATCCTTCAGGATCAAATATGAGGTAAAAGTGTTGGTAGAATGCCCACAATTAAATGGTTGTTGAGTTAAGCATGTGACTCTTGCATGGAAGCCAGGCAATCTTACACATAATTGTGGTGATACTGTGGTAACAGCTTAATTAAGGTGCCTTTTATAATGGTTTATAAAGGCTTTGCAAATGGTTTATAAGTAGGCTACTGTAGTTTATAGATAGTTTTTGTTTATAATTTATAAAGCAGTAATAAACACTTAACATATTTGATGATGGCACAGGTCCAGGAAATACAGGTACTGTAGGTAGCCATATCTTCAGC